AAAGCACCCCGAGGGCCGAGGAGGTGCGGGTAGTGGCGAAGGAGACCTCCCGCGGCCCGGGTTTTTCAGGGCTTTCCGGCTGAGCGACCCCGGCCGCACCGTCGAGCCTCTCCCCATCGCTAGGGGGCGGCCTTCCGCTTGAGGCTCGCCTGTCTCCCAGATCCGGCTGCTTGCAAAGGAAGATGAAATTCTGTTGGAAGCGAAACGCAGTCAGTTTTAGAAATAACCCATTTGCAGAAGTGGCTGAGGAAGGGTGCATGCGCCTTCTCGCCTTACCTAAAAAGGACCCTGAATTTTGTTGGGAGGCATTCGAGCCCACAGTCGCCTGCCCCATCTCCTTTAAATAGGAATTTGTTTAAGTTCCATGCACCCGATGCTGCAGCTGCAGAAGGGATAGACCACGGAGAAGCTCAAGAGCAACCAGCCCATGGAAGCAGAAAGACCCCTTCCAATGGCCAAGGCCGAAACTAGCCTCCCCTCCCCACCTCCCCTGCCCGCCTTCCCAGTGCACACAGCGAATTCAGTTCATATAGTATGATTAGGCAGGGTAGGGGTGACCTTGGTTAAGTTAAGCATCATCTCTAAGCCTCAGCTTTCCTCTCTGAAAAATGGGTATAAATACACCATAGAGTGTTTGAAAGGTAGGATAAAAATACAGACAAAAGTCACTATTTAGGGCAGGTGATGCAGAAGAAGAGCACTCTTAGAGCGTTGGGGCCTAACTCTCCAATCCACTTCCTTTCAGCTAAATCTCACTAACATGTGGTTTCTTGCTAGATAGCTACGTTTTGAGTCTCTGGTTCGGTTATCGTTTACAAAGTCAGTTATTCTTCTTTTTAGATATATAGCTACCCCGTCATGTATTAAACAAATAACTTTTAGAAAACAAATAAATTTATTAACATCGCTTAGAAATAAACCACATCTGTCAATAAATTAGCACAGTTTTCTAGACAGAGTTCTTCCAACAACGTTCTGCCAAAGGTGCTGGGGGTGGGGGTAGGGGGTATCATAGGCTATTGCATATTTTTAGAAAATCAGGATAAATTATATAAATTATATATTTAAAAAGAGAACTATTTCATTAACTGGACAGCATAATAAATAGATAAATAACAAACAGTTGATTGCCATTAGAAAAATGTGATTCTTAAATTACATTTACATTATAGACATTTACATGTACAATATGCACACAGACCTAACCAGGCGAGTCTGTGATTTCTCAGGACACAAACTCAAAGGGCGGTTCGTTTTCTATGTTGTTGAAGGAAGACTTGCTGTTGAGTTTTCTGGGGTCCTCTGGGGTCCACACTTTGGCTGTCCGGATAATATTTTGTTCTTTGAGTTGTTTTTCATCAGTCCATGAGAGAGAGTGTCCTGCCAGGGGAGGGAGGCCATAATCCGGGTCGCTGGGGGAGGGGGACCCTGAGGAGGTGAGAAGAAACAACAGAGTGTGAATGTCCACCTCTATTCCCAGCGGAGCCCTCCAGTCCTTGGGGTCTATTCCCGGGCGCCTCCACAGAACAGGCGCCTTAGATTACATGAGAATGACCCTTTCTCTCCACTGCACAAGCCCCCAGCGCCCCCTCCCCGGAATCCCAGGAGCTGCAAGTCCTTTGTGGTTGCGCGCCCTCTGAGCCACGGTCAAAGTGGAGGAAAAAAGAACCCGATAAACGCCAGCAGGCGCTCAAGGTCGCTGGTGCCCATGGACCATCTGTCCGTCCGTCAGTCGGTTTGTCAGCCTATTCACCCAGCCCCTCCAAGACCTTCCCGCTTGCGTCCCCGTCTCCCTGAGCTGGGATGGGAACGCACTTACGGGTGCCTCGATGGCAGATAATGACTTTCTGGGCCTGGCTG